GAAGTGTAACACCACATCTTTTGATGCGTCTGACACACAAATGTCTGTATCATCATCATCATCATCATCAACTTTATTTATAAAGCACTTTAAAACAACCACAGCTGACACAAAGTGCTGTACATTGGAACTGTAAAATAAAATTACATGAGATATAAATAAAAACCAAATAAAAGAAGAGTGAAATCATTAATTAAATAACTACTTCAATTAAAAGAGAAACTAAGTCTCACTGAGGTTAAAAGCCAAGGAATAAAAGTGGGTTTTAAGACGTGATTTAAACGTGGACAGTGAAGGGGCCTCTCTAATGTGCATGGGCAAATTATTCCATCACTGTAGAGTGTGAATGCACCTTTCTTACCTGTTGCGTGTGCACATATCCAATGCACATGTCCACCCTCATTTACAAAGTGCACTAAAAGAGTTTCTTCCCTCCAGGCAAGCCTGGGCAGGTTGCTCTTAAGGTGCAGAGAGGGAATACATTTGCAGAGATAAGAAGGAGGAAAGGTGTGCAGTGAAGGACCCCTCCACCCACATTACTGTGTGTCTGCAGGTGGTGAAAGTGAAGAATTCCCGGGGAGGGCAGGAAGGAAGTGAAGGCCCAGTTGTGGCGACTGCATAGAGCCCATCTTCCTCTGTTATTTAGTGTGGAGTGGTCTTGAAATAAAAGGAGCAGGGGAAAATCCAGAGAAGCAACCAACATTATCAGATTACAAAGGAAACTGTCAGGAGAAACACCATTTCACATGGGAAAAATAAGTGTGTGTTAGCATGTAAGATATATAGGTCTAATGCAGCAATAATTTCCCATTAAGATTAATTAATACATCTTTACATTTACTATTCCCAGGCTGTTTTATTATATAAGAATGGCTAAAACCAGACACTACATGTGGGTGTCTTTGTCAACTTTCTGAAGCTATAAGAACTAGTTGACCTTATGGGGAAAAAAACAACTATAAGAAACAATGATGAAGATTAAGTCACATAGATTATCCTTCTCCCAGCAAATACCAGCTTTGCAATAACCCCTTACAGATTTACACCAGCCTCTCCAAATTTCATTTTGCAGATAATTTGGAGGCCTTGTTTACCCGGCTGACAGAACTAGTTCTCATTCCTCGATCACCCCAGTTCTGCAGCTTTTTTACAGCCACTTAATTGGCGGGGCAGGGCCCATCTCTTTCCTCTGAACCAGAACAAAGGTTTGTGGACAGAAATAGAAACTGGATTCTGGGATGGCTGCACAATTTGAGGCCCATGCTTGGCTTTCAGCAGAGGCCAAAACCTGGAAAGGCACCGTGAGAAAACTGTAGGCTTTCATAACGCTTGTTAAATTGAGGTATGTCCAGGTCACATTGAGATGACAAACAAGTAGATCACTTCATCATAACTCGTAATGTTACTAACGGAATATTGGTAGTAGGTTGAGTCTGTGGCATCACAGCGCTCATACATGCGTGGTGAAACTGGGCATACTCCAAGGTCATTGATTGAGACTGTGGAGGGGTTTCAGTTAGGTCATGGTCTCCGAACAAGAAACAAAAAACTGTGGGATAAAGAGCTTCCTTCGTGGTGTAAATTTGCATTTACAACAGGGTTTTAGAATTTGTGCTAATTGGATGATTGTGGTTTCCAACATAGACTCATCTACCCAAACTACCTCAAAACCAAAAGCACATTTGTTTGTAGATTAATGCATGATGTCTACTACTTTGCAATTTTAATTTTAATGACACATGTCCAAGTCACATTTGAATATCTGTTTCTTGTCATATAACAGTGGTGAGAAAAAAGAGAGAGGTATTTTACACATGTGGGAAAATGTCCCTAAGATGTATGAATACATGTTCAACTATCCTCATAAGTCTAGGTGAGACAGAGACATAGGAAGTGTAACTGTCTTTGGGGGGACTTGGGGTCAAATTGAGTGGTGCCACTCACAGCCCACTTCCGACTACTCTGTAATCTGTCAGGGTGAGTGCTGAGAGTTCCTCTCTCTTTCTCTGTGTCCTTCACTTTGCTTAGGCCTAATTACAGCTTTGGACTGCCTCAGGGGCCAAGCCTCCAGAAACAGGGACCACGATAGACCACTCCAACAAAAAAAGAAAGAAAATGTTTAACTGGCCTTGGAATTAGATGAAAGCTGGCCTCTAGTTTGTTCGCCATTCGACCAACATCCAATAATCACATAATAGCTGAAGCTATGTATGGGTCCAGGTCAGAGCAGAATCAAAGAGAAACAATTATCATATTAATCACTATAGAGACTCCAATTTATCTGTGATCTTAGTCGGCTCAAAAAGCTCTCAGACAGAAGCAATTACATGACAGACAGTCATGAGACCATTCAGGGAAAAGAATAACTTTAAATGTACCAGACTTGTCATGTGATCTGCAACCGCCTCATTCCTCTCCTACTCCAGCACACCTCCACACTGTGTGTATTCCACACACTCTCTCCACAAGCACAGACGCACTGGACCCTGACAAGCAAAAATAGGGAAAGGGTTGTTTTGTGTTTGAGAGTGAGGGACACACACACACACTCTCTCTTACATTGTTCTTCTGGGCTAACTCAGGCATGTTTTGCAGATATCCATCTGATTACAGTACGTGATTTATTTATCTATGAATGTTGGTACTGCACATTCCTTTGCTTTTACTTCCTTACATCCTTTAAGCTACTAAAAGAGCTGCTGTGTTAAAATGCCAAATACAATACCAGAGATAATCACAAGAAGAATTATGAAAATAGCTGTGGAGAAAATTTTGGTATAACTTATGTAAAGGTTTTAAAGTGAAATAAAACCTACTTATTTTATTATAGATTATATTTACCTGTGGGAAGTGGGGCATTATGGCTAATGTGAGCTACAGTCGGGTTGCTGGAGCTAGTGCAGCCCAGTCTGAGCTTCAAGCAAGTGTATCTGATTTGTCCAAATCGTCTTAAAACAGTGGAAAATTGCTCCATAGTACCATTTGACAAGCTGTTGCAGCTGGCCATAGTTGCCTCTGACAGCAGGTTATGTTAAACACATGTACAGTAATATCCTGTGTGTGCAAACGTACATTCTTCACACTCCCTCTTTATTGAGAGGCTGCTCTGCGAGACGACATTCCTCCAGTACATTACTCTTAGTCTCCTCTGCTATGCTGAATATGCACAGGTGGCTGAGAGACCCCCTTTCAAAGAGCTATGAGTAGAGGAAAGGGCAGAAAATCAGCAAGCTTTTTCTTTTTTCAGCATATGAACCAAATGTTTTGCATTCCAGAGAGCACTGCTCTGCTGTAGGCCTGTCTGTTAACAAATGGCAGGGCTGGTTGGCAATGGATTTGACACTGACTTCTCAGAAATGTAAAAAATACAAAAAAAACCAAAAACCCTGAACTGTACACCTCAACTCTGCTGCTGTTATTCTGTTGAGGTATTTTGGACAATTTCTGCTATGGTATTTGCTCTCTCATCTGTAACCAATAGTGGACCTAAAAACACCACAGATGTAATTACTCAGGAATTTTCTCACTTACATGTGTGGTATGCATCCTTATTTTAAGGACTGCTTTGTAGCGGAGACAAATGACCGGGACGGAACCAGCTATGTCGCCCATACAAACAAGTCAAGAGACAAATACATGGCTGTACGTGTGAGGAGCAGGTACACAAGGTAGACTTTTTGCATGACACAATAACACCAAATAGCAGATGGGATCCTTAATTATATTTATGGAATGTTTTACTTCATGCAAATAGAGGCAAAACAACAAGTTAAAAAAAATGATAAGTTTACTGTTATTCATAATATTTCTAAAGACGATGTATAGTGTGGGGAAAGCACTATGGTGCAGTGTTTGGCACTAGTGGCTCACAGAAGAAAGGTTCTGGTCATGTCAGGTCTTTGCTGTACCCAAAATCAGCCTTGGACATGCAACTCTACTGATAAGTGAATGAAATCAGTGGATGTGAATTATTATGCATTATCTGCACAAGGAAGTTCATCATTGAGCAGTATTTGATAAATGAATATGGTCAATGTGCAGCTAATGCGCACACAGCATATACATCTAGTCTGTGTAGTCTGTGAAGTATAAAACGAAATTAAAAACAGAGAGACAAATATATATATATATATGCCACCACTGATTTTGGTTATTCTTTAATATTTTAGACCTCAGGGTGTACTGTTTGCATAAATAATAATTTAATAATACATAATAATATATCAAATAATATACTAAAATTTGTAACTGTTTGATTGTTTATAATGTAGGCCTTTAAATTATTTACAAAGGATTTGGATCACCCTATTGGACACCTTTGGTCTACTGGAACAAAACGTTAAGTGCAGCCATGTGACCTTTTACCACGTAAAAGAACGGAAAGAAACAAATGATTCTGGCTTTTCAATGTTAAATAGCGTTTAGTAGTAAGTGTTGATGAATTACTGTAAAAGTCGAAGAGGCACATTGTAATAATAATGCTTGACACACATGACAACTGGCTCCCCCTATGGATTAAGGCGAACATAGCCGATTGCTGAGTTTCCTCTCGTGTGGGGACTTAAGACTTTATATGCACCGTCAGTAAACTGCAAATATGTATGTGTTTGATTAGTATTTAATTTATTTTTGTGGAACATCATTAGTACCGTGCTTCTAATGCTCTTGATTACATTTTGATTATTCCATTTTTTTAAAGATCTCAACTACATTGTTCACTTAAAAGTCATGAGTGAGAGGGTGAAGGAAATAAATGCCTTGGCCTGTGATTTTCTTTTTTTCCTTTTTAATGTTATTTAATATCTGTCTTAAAGAGCCACACCTTAAATCTTGCCTTGCTTTTCAGCAAAACCCCAGCATATTTCTCTGATGTCTTGAAGGAATAACGGAGTAGACGCAATTCAGCAGCACACCACAAGCTATTCGGGGGTGTGACTACGGTCATTGGGGTCTATATATTGAGATGTTTTGTCCGCTGTCTTTATGTGAATGGGAGAGAAGCTGCCCAGTGAAAAGTCCCCACGGCAGGACAGCGCACCTCCTCACTTCATTCGCTCTCAGACACAGCACCATGGATTCCTGTTTTCGCGCACTTTGCATGACTTTTGTCCTGGCAACGTTCACCTGGAGGTCAGGTGCGTTCGGACCTGTTATCAGATGCGAACCATGTGATCTTGCTGCACGGCTTCTGTGCAAACCTTTACCCAAGGACTGCTCGGAGAAGGTCCGCGAACCGGGCTGCGGCTGCTGCATGACTTGCGCGCTGAGTTTCGGCCAGCCGTGCGGCGTGTACACCGGGAGATGTGGCTCCGGCCTGATTTGTCAACATCAACCCGGTGAAACGAAACCTCTGCAGGCTCTGCTGGAGGGACGGGGTATTTGTGCAAACGCTACTAACAAGCGACAAACTACCAGACCAACAGTGCCAGTCAATGAGCTACCAGGTAATTCATCAGCGTGAGTGTTTATGCCTCAAAGTGCGCTCTTTTAGACACCTTACGTATCACTGGTTAATGACCACAATTTCGGTAGTTGCAGAAGAACTGGTAAATCTTTGCCAGTGGTCGTCGGGCAATGTAAGAATTACCAGATGTTGTATAAAAAGAGAAAACTTTTTTTCTTTTAGCAATAAAAATCCAGCTAATATGTGAAAACACTTTGATGTGTTCAAAACGTCTTTACATCAGAGGAACGAAGGTGGTGGATAAGGCTTTAAGCAGTGCGCACTGGAGAGATTTCGATTGTGGAAAGAAGAAGTGCCTCTTTGTGCCGCAGAGGGAAGACTTGAACCCTCCCTGAATTCATTGTAAAGAATTCAGGTCAGATAAATGTTAAAGCCTAGCCTGCATCTTCAAGGTTGCATGGTTTCTAGTTTGTACTTTTGAATGAAATCAAATTAAAACAACAAAAAAGGTGGGCTTTTTATTTTTTATTTTTTACTGGAAGTCAAGGTTTTCTAAAGTTTTTCAGAAGATGCTTTTAAAGCACACAATACCCATGTCCCTCCCCTGAACCCTAGCCTGTTGAAAAAATGTGAAATTAACACTCTGCTATGTTTGTTTATAAACACATTTTTATTTTCACAATTTTTTAGCAGAGAATGCTGATACTCAGGATGAAGAGCGCAATTCCACTGATTCGGGTGTTCAGACCACTACATACAGCACCCACAGACCTATTGGACCATTTAAGCCTCCACTTCACCCTTTCATCCCCCCAGACATCCTGAGACGGGAACAACAGAGAAGAACCCAGTTCTTTAAAACGGGGGAGCTACCGGGACCACTCGTCACAGATCAACAAAACTCTCTAGAGACCAAGCGGGAGCCTGAGTATGTAAGTACCACAACCAATATTTTTTCTGTCTTCAGAGCACACTGGAGGAATGTTTTTCTCTTCTTCCTCTGTGCTTTGGTGTTTTTTTCCCCCTGCGGGTGATGAAATGCTTTGGGTAGCGGTGCTGACGTTTGGCAGAGATTGTGAGCCAGTAGAATGGCATGGCAGCAAGCGGGTGCCATAGCCCTGCGGCTGACCTGGGTCAGGCGGTTGTTTGGCCACAAGGCGTCCGCGTGCCGGCTATACTGAGAGCCAGCGAATGATGGATTGGCTTATGTGAGTGCCTGTTGGGAAGCCCTGCTGCTATTTTGATCTTCTCTTTGGCCCGAGAAGTGAGCACACTGTAGTAATGGGCTTTGACTGGCTGTTCTGATTAGTGACTTGAGTACTTGGACTTGAGGACAAGCCTTTTGACTCTGTCTTTGAGCTGTTAGAATTCACTTTAGCCCCCCCAGTCTTTGTGTAAGACTTCTAAGCAGCTTTGGCAAACTGCTAAACCTTCACAAGCCAGATGAATTCATTCCTCATCTGCCACCTCTTTCATATTGCAGCCACCATTGTTTAGGTATTACAGCAAGGCAGCGTGAGTCAGCTTTATTAAAGTGTTAATTCACCAAAACATTAATGTCAAAAACCCACTGCCAAATGGCATTGCTAATGAGGAAGTATAAACGCTTTATTCGCTTTTTATCTGTCTTCAAAATGAAACTATAGAATTTCTGATGTTAAAGGAAGGTACTAAAAACTGGTGATGTCTTCCCTCATTCACAGGGTCCCTGCCGAAGAGAGATTGAGAGCATTCTCAGCAACCTCAAGATCTCCAACATTCTCAACCCCCGAGGTTTCCGCATACCAAACTGTGATAAGAAGGGCTTCTATAAGAAAAAGCAGGTGAGAAAAAGTATACCTAATAATTTGATATTTGAGTGTTTTAGTAGTGCAGTGGTTCTCAAGCTTTTTCTGGCAGGCCTCAGTACAAAAGCCAAAAGAATGCTTGCACCCCACACCCTACAGTGTTTATCGACATTTAACAATCTAAAAGAATTCAAGATGAATTTTACTTTTAAAAAAATGTCAGTGCAGTTTCATCAGCAAACACATCACAGTCAGTCTTCTTAGTTTCTCCTAGTTGTTTGTGCCCATCACCAGTGGCTCATTGCCCCCCTAGTGGGACCTGCCCAGCAGTTTGAGAATCATTGGCTTAGTGCATCCTTATTCAGTGGACACGAAGGGCTGTGCATTATTTCACGATCTGCTTAATGCAAACTTGGTTACGGAATCAAAATGCTGTAAAAAGGAAATCAGCATTTGCGGAGTACATTCATAATGATTACAAGACGAATGACTCAAACTTAAGGTCTCCTGCAGCCCAATTACAGATTTGTTGCTGTTCTCATGTATTCATTGGTAGTTATTAGAGCCTCATCATTGCACCACCACACCAGTGAGGTATACCCTAGCCACTGGCTCTGGAAACTGGAACCACAGGGACCAAACCCCAGCGGGGTTGACGGCAGGGACGATGGCCATTTAACGGAAACCCTCCCAGGGAGACAGACGTCAAGGTGGCCGCCGGCACCCCATGTGCTTGCCCCATAATTGCTGGACTTTTGAGAGGCAGACACAGAAATAGAGCCGAAGCCATCCCAACGCTCACATGGTTCACCCACGATCGGGTTGTAATAAATGAGTGGTTCTGACGCATTCATATGGAGGCACTTAGGGCTCCCGCACCACTGCATCACAGAGGCAGCTTCCCCTATTACATAGCAGTCCCTCCCGCTTAATAGAAGTGTTCTTATTGACCTGCAATCATCTCATAACCAGCCTTACAACGCCAGGCTCATTGTCTTTGTTTATGCAGAACGGACCTTCTGCACCGCGCTAAGCCTTTAGGCACTGAAGGAGTGGCAGAGATGTTGTGGTGTTCAGTTGAATTTGAACACTCGGATGACTCTAAGGGAAAACAGCTCTTGTTACAATGATTATTAACAGTAAATGCCTCTTAGAGGGAACATAACAAACTACCCAATAATGATTTTGGTGTTGAAGAAGATGCATTTATAAAAATAAATAAATAAATTGATTAATGTATTTGTTTCCCCAATAGACAGCCTGCGTTTTTTTGTTTTTTTTTAACTTGCCGCCAAAATTTATGGTTCACTAAGAATTTTTCATTCATCATGATAAAGACTGTTTATGAAACTCTCCACCTAAGATCAGACCTCACTGAGTAAGGATGTCTCCCCGCGTGACCAGTCTCTTCTGTGCAGCAGCAAGTGTTGCTTTAGCCCTTGAAATGAATGGCTGTATGTTTAACTAGAGTGGAGGTTGACCTTTAGTAAAATTGGCAGTAAAATAACAGCCCTTGGGTAGCTCCACAGACTCTGTAAGTCATTTGTAGTAGGCCTACCCATAATTTGGAGCTGTGGGGTATAATCAGCAACAGATGATTCGTACTGGCCACCAGCTTCTGAAAATAGATCTTGGTTCACAGTTGTTCACAAACGGGACTAAGCAAATATTTTACCAGGTTTCTGTTTACCTTAAAGGTCTCTATATGTGTGTGTAACAGGAGGTAGACCATAAAAGCAGCTCAAAATACCACAGCGTGTTGGATAGCAAAGGCTCAGCACAATCTGACCATTAATGACTCTTAACTATGCTTTTCTGCTTCATTGACTAAAGTGGCCTGTTATCCATAATGCTTCATATTCAACCGGATTTGTACATTCAGCTTTCCCACCTCCCCCCACCGGTCTTCCCTCGCTTCACCTTGTTCTCTCCTTCACTTTCAGTGCCGTCCTTCCAAAGGCAGAAAGCGAGGCTACTGTTGGTGTGTGGACAAATATGGGCAGCCTCTGCCAGGTCTTGATAGGAGGGAGCGAGGAGATACCCAGTACTACAACTCTGACAGCCAATAGGAGCAGAGCAGGATGGGAGGGAGGGAGGCTGAGATTGAACGGCAAGAACTGTAAACAAATGAAGAAACCGAGGATATTGGAAGAGAGGTCAAGAGATGGCTCAGCCGATATATGGATGTTTGCTATTTCTAACTGTTGCCTGTGGGACCTTTTTCTGAGGCACAGCGCAGAGCGCAGCAGAAGAGTACCGGGCAGAAAAAGCCTGTAGCCTCTGTACATGGATGGATTCTTCATAACCTGTTTGTCTCAGATTCAACCCGGACACCTTTTGGAATAATGTTACACCTAAAGAAACTATCTCAGAGGCCTTATTCTGATTTTAAAGCACAAAGACATGTCACAAGCAGTGATAAGAGAGCTCTTCATTTACGCACAATTAAATGGCATTGCATATGTGTAAATGCTTGTGATTTGTAATCATTATTTGTATGCTTGTGATTTGTTATAAAGCCATTGTGTTTTGTCTTGACAATGTATGTATATTTGAATAAGTAAGCATGCAGTGATTTAAGTATGAACTCCTATTTGTATGAATTCCATTATTCCGGTTGCTTCCTGCTCCAAGTAGGGAGTTGGTTGGGACCGTGCAGCTCAGACAACACAGCGCATAGAAAGTTATTTTTTACTCTGGGTCTCACGCCACGGAAAAAGAGATTTTGTTTCATGATCTGTACTGTGTGTGCGTGTGTGGGTTTTTTTGTTTGTTTGTTTGTTTTGTTGTCGCTTTGCATAAGCTGAATATAAGAGATAAGGGGTCCTTACAGTTATCTCCAGTCTCTGTGTAGCCAGTGATATTTTTTTAGCACTTGTCTTGGATTAAGTGGTCAGTTTAAATATGCTGTTTGCATGTACAATGCAACCCTCAGAAGTCTATTTTTACTTAATAAAGGCAGTATAAAGTTACCCAAGTATTGTTGTTTTTAATGTTTTGTAGATAGACACAAAACAAAACTCCTTTGTGATAAAATAAGATTTTATTAAGATGCACATCCACAGAATTAGAGTATATACAACAAACCCAATAATGGAAAAAGCAGCATTCCAGGGCAATTAGCATTCAGTTGAAACTGGATCTACTGCACATAGCTACAACAACAAACAAATCTTTAAACACAAGTGAATGATAATAAATACTAGAGTAGGTAGTCAGATAAAGAAAAGGTCAAATAAAGTCCCTAATGTGAGAAGATGTAGCTGAGAAGAGGTCTCAGAAATCCTCTGCTCAAACTGTGGACCTGCAGAGACCAGCAGAGGTAGACGAATGATGAACAACCCATCCCAAACCTCAGCGTGGCTTGGAAGAGCACTGATATGTTTGTGCTAGGCCACCATGCACATACTTGTGGCACTTTAAGCATTTCACCCAATACCCATTGAGGAAACGCCAATGGAGATACATTCAGACAATGTCAACAGAATGAATGAATGAGCTGCTGTGTTGTTTGCTGCCGTGCACAGCTCTAGTTATGAATGAATTAAACAAAAATTTATCCTGAAGTCTCTCAAATGGGCTTGGCACCGTAATGGACCTGTGGTTTTGAGCAATGGAGTTATTTAGTCAGAAACACAAATGTATACAGTGTCGCCCTATATTTACAACTGAAAAAAATAAAACAGGCAAACATATAAAAGATCTAAAAATGACAAATGGTTAATGCTTGTAAGAATATACAGGCAGCGAATAAATAAGTTGATCATACATACACCACGTAAATAAGATGGGAGGAAATTTCCTCCACTCAAATAAGTTTTCACAGTTTCATTTTTGCAAAGGAGAGCCGGCTCATCAGGCGGCTGACCTCCTGTTGCTGTTAATGTGTGTGCCTTTGTGTGTGTGAAAGTTGGTTTTTGAGTGACAACAGAGTCCATCCTTCAGTGAGTAACTTCTTGATGGCACTCTGAGTCACCGACCAAGTCGCTCGATCCTAGGAGCCTCTTCCCATTCCAAGACGAGACGCACCAGCAGCGAGCGGGTGGTCCAACGAGAGATGACTCGCACTGAAAAGGAAATAAAAATGGCATCTCTCACAAATAAATCACTCATTATTTTATAATAAATCCCTTTTGGGAGTCAAAATTCATTTTGTTATGGTGAAATTTCTGAAAAAACAAACAAAAAGTTAAATTCTCACCTGCTTGGCCTTGTAGAAGCCATGCTTATCACAGTTGGGAAGGTAGAAAGTTGTGAACTTCTCTCCTAACCTCTGCTGAGAGGTGGCTATCGTGTCCAGTGCTTCGTGCAGTTCAGTGTGACATGGACCCTGTGTAGGAAGAGAAACAATGAGAGCTACAGTCTCCTAAACACAAATGCACCAGCAAATTATCTACACCCCCTCAGAGCCATCTACTCCCTCTTGTGGAAAGAGAGATGAATTACTTTGAATAACCAGTTAGTCGGATTGTTTATTTTTCCCCTCACCTGTTGCACCAGTTTGTTGCGTATGGCATTGACCTTAGCCTTGAGACTCTCCTGGCCTTCAGCAAAATCTTGGTGATCAAAGGGAAGGTTAAGTCCCAGAATGTGCTGCAACGAGCCATGGTCAGGGACTCCTCCATCTTCCTCTGTAGAATTTTTAGAAAACAGAGAGCATACATGGCACATGAAATGGAATGGGGTTGCACTAAAGATGTAATTTCAATGCTGTGAACTTTTTTTAATTAATGAATATCAATATGAGCACATATGAAACAGCCAGGCTACCTTGGCGGAGGTCTACAGTGCAGATTCCTTGTCCTCTGGTCAGAGCGTGCAGTGGTCTTGCTTCACCAGGCCTGGGAGTGCAGCGGAGACCCTCAGCACAGTGGGCTGTGTGAACTCCACAGGAAGCCCCCTCCTCGAGCGCACAGGCCATGCAGCAGCCACAGCCTGGCTCCCTTAACACCTGCTTGCAGTCTGCTGGGATGGCGGGGCAGTCGTTCAGCTTCTGTTGAGTACAGGGGGCACAGCGGATGGGCTCTGGCCCCACCACCGGAGATGACCTCACTACGGACAAGACAACCAGAGCCGCCGCTGCCACAAACGTCAGCTTCTCGCTTAATCCAAACATTTCCTTCTGATGAAATTCTTTAGCTTTTTAGACGTTGTTTAAAACTGTCAGTTTCTTCTAACAAGTCTTCTCTGAACTGGCAGTATTTATATGAAAGCTTTGGCCTCCAGAAGGGTTAATAATTGACTCAGCACAGATATAAAATATTTTTCACAAAGCTGCTGTAAAAGGTGGATGACCCCGCTTGCCTTGCGTAGTTTGAGGTCATTTGTCAATATTGACGCTGGAATGCACATCAAAACAACTTTTGACGTGCATTAGTCATCTTTCTTTAACTTTAGAGTTATGAAAACAACTGAACAGTGCTGCTGAAATTCAGTACAATGATGAATAGTGAATAACGTCTTTAAGAGAGAGCATCACGTGATCCAAGGAGCTCTAGGCTTTGCTACAATGGCTTGTTAATGTTAAAAACTGTCTTATGGGTGTTGTCAAAACTTTATCTTGTGAAGTAATTCTGACAGGTTAGGTGCTGACACTGTTTTGACAGAAAAAAGTCCTATTTGTCCTTTTAGTCTTGTTGGTGAAGGTTCCTCTTATCACACATGCAAACAAACAAGGTCCTCCACCTTGTTTATCGACCTGTGTGATAACCCAGTCTGCCTTGCATAACCCAGAAATGGTGAAACGACACATTTATCTGGGAAAAGATGGCAGTAAATGGCCGTTTCCTTGCTGTAATATTTGTCATAAATACCTAAGTCAAATGCCACATACCTTTAGTCATACGATGTGTGACACAAATTTCAATAGGCAGTGATCCCGTGCTTTTCATTCACTGAAGAACTTGCTTTTACCCTGCAAACTTTTAATTGCTTTTTTTAATTTAATAATTATTCACCATGGAAACAGATACAGTCATCAGGACCAATTACTAAAAACACAGGTCTTAATAACAAAACTATGTGTACAGTCCCGGGATAAAAATATGAAGTTAAAGAGATAAAATGCTGATGAATGTGAGGATATGGGCACAATGAGAAATAACAAAAATGAGCACATTGTGTGTGTACATTTTGCATTTAATAGGAAAGTAAAATATGTTGTCTTTGAATATCTTAATTTTTTTTTAATCTTAACTAGAGAAAAATATGCTTTTAAATGAAACCTTTATACCTTTAAATTGCTAGAAATGTGTACACCCAGCAGTATATAAAAGAAGTCTGCATTAGCGCCTCTTTAAAGTACTGCAGACTATGCGTGAATCGCACACATTTTACTAATTTAATAACATAATCATGATGTAAGAAAAGGACCACGGCGTTACTACGTTTGCATGTGCATGAACTGAAACTTTAATATGTATTTTAATGCAGATTTACTTTAGCTTACATAGGTTGGGTGAAAACACTTTCTTTTCATAAAAAATAGAAAAATAAATTTTATTGATTTATTTTGAGTCAACTCTGACTGACGGTACACTAAAGTGCACCAGCCATGTTGCTCCCACACAGCAGGGGAGGGGTCAGCTTTGACGTTGCTATGCTTGCTGAAGAGAGCTTTGGTTCTTCGTGTTACATTCTTCACTGGCATCCAAATCTAGTAACTTAAGAAACGGTAAACGGGTTCAGCTTGAACCTAACAGCAGCAAGTGCTGGTTGAAAAAGGGATTGATACACAAAATAAAAATACAGCGAAGACAGTAGCGGGATAGAAGCACAAATACCAAACTGAAGATAACACAATGACACAATTAACTCTTGCACAAAATATACACATCATGTTCTCTCTAAGCATTGAACTCTTGTGTAATGAAACCAGCTATCGTGCCTTTTGTTTATTCACGTATAACAACAAACGACATGGACTTCACTCTCTTGTCAGTGGCTTCCTTAAATAAGGCACATTAGGCAGAATTTGTTCAACGTTCAGTTTGTCACGAATGAGGTCCCAGGTTGGTGTGTCCCAAATGTTTCACGTTCACCTCACGAGATGTCACTCAATCACTAGCTGATGAGTTGTTGCCTCTTCGATGCTGACCATCAGATCCGCTAGCCAGGGGGGAAACGGTTCCTCCTTTGAAATATGTTAGAGGGCATTAGTGGAAAAGAGATTTAATTAAGGTCCATATTTTTTTTTAAGTCAAGACAGCTTTGCTTAAAATTATACTCACAGCTATTAAATTCTTCTTAGAGCGTTCCCTTGGCTTCGGGACTGGCTGTTTAGATCTTCTCGGTTTCTGCCACTTAATCTTGGAGGCCTTGAAGCAAAAATAAACTAGTCTTTTTTCAGATTTTTAAAAATTATTATTATTTATTTAAATAGCAGGAAATAGTAAATACTCAGTAACACCTACCTTTATTTTCACCTTACTGCTATTGGATCTCCTTACATTTGTAAATTTCGGCTGTCCTGGTGTTGTAGTTTCACCACGTAGATGAAAAGAAAGCGTGCTCACATCAGACACGGAAAAGCTCTCAGTTCCTTCGTGTGGATGGTTTGAAAACTGGCTCAGGGAACGAGATAGCCTCCCAGGTCTCAGAACCCTCAGTTGAGCAGCATCGTCATCTTTATCGCTCTCATCTTCTGCCAGCGCATCCTCTTCCTCCACACCTACTTGAAATGGAAAATCGCCCTCATTTCCTTCTCTTGTTCTGTTCCCTTCAGTTTCATCCTCAAGCTCTGACTCTTCCTGGATGGGCTCCAGACCAGGTCTCTGTTCCATCAAAAAGCCTATTTACTCATGACATTTACCATTTTTATCATTTGATTTACTTTATTCAAAGAATAGTGATAACAGATTAGGCTTACATTTGGCTGTTGAATGTCCATTTAGCTGGATGGCTGAGCTTTTTGGAACCAGAGTAAAGATACTGCAGTCTCTGGTGTGAGTGTGGCCTCCTTGT